AAAAAAAAAACATAATATGTAAACAGAAAAAAGTAAGCAGTCATTATTAAAACAAAACAAAACAAAAAAAAATTATTTGAACACTAATTTGCACACTTAGACACTATTTTGAAAAACCAATAATATAATATCAAGAACCTTTTTAATGTTAAACTCATGAACCCTGTATAGCAAATTAATTAATTAATTAGTTAAATATAATAAAACGTATATATTAGATACATGCATATATGTCATATATATATATATATATATGCTAACTAAAGAACCCTGTACAGCAAACAAATAAATAAATAAATAAATTTGCTACTTGGATAATAAATGTGTATATATAATTTTATTTTATTTTTTTAACTTGAAGAATTATGGAAGTATTATGGGAACTTTTTTAAAGTTAACTAAATTACCCTGTTTAGCAACCCTGTTGTAAAAAATAAATAAACAATTTAATTAATTATTTAAAAAAATGTTTGATTAGATACATCCATATATTTCATATGTATTACATAATTAAATATTTAATTAAATTATTTTACGAACCGAGGGAGGAATCAGTGCAATTTGAATATCATTGGCATACTATTATTTATTTTTTAGTAATATTTTGAATTCAATTTTTAGATTTTCTGCTTTCATTTTAATGTTAGTTTTAGTCATTTTGATGTGTGTGTTTTACCATTTTTAATCATTTTAATTTTTTAAATATAACTTATTAATTTTAGGATATAATACATCCTAAAAATTGATGGTATGCAGAGTCATGCGTTTGATTAATCCAATATGTGCAACAATGGTCAAATCATTTTTAAGTGTGTTAAACAGAAGCCTTTGACAGAAAAACAGCTGTGCCATTGGTGGAGTTAAACAGCAGCACACCGGTGTGAGAGAGAGATAAGTGTAGGAGGCCATTAAACTCAGTCTTACTGATTACAGCACAGACATTCATCCTGTTCATTAAACCAGCAGCATTAAACACACCACCTCAGGACAAAACGCTAAACTTCTTCTGAAACGTTTAAGTGGATATTGAAACATTACCCAAAAAAACTTCCGAAAGAGAGATTGTGTCAAATATTGTATTTTTAACAACACTTTGACATTTATGGGTCCTTTTCTTTTCTAATTTGTCACATACAGCACTGCACTGCACATACAGATACATCTAATCAGATCTTTTCCTTTTAACATGACGCTTCTGACATGGACAGTTAACTTGAGATGACAATAAAAATGCGGCTACATCAGAATCGCTGCTTAATTCCTTCACAAAGCTTCAGTCACATCTTTCCTTTAGAGACAGAAGCGAATCCACACTGACCTCGCTCAAACCATCATCCAGCTCACGAATAATTGATGTTTCTGGAGAACTGAAAGGCTTTCATTCCATACTCAGACTGACGGCAGGTGAAAAACACTTTACATTTTCACAATTAAACCACAGATGCTTAGAACATTAGAAATAAATTCAACTCGGGCCAGTGTTGTTATAGTTAACTAAAACCATAAAAAAAACTTTCATTACTTAAAATAAAATGAACTTTAACTAAAGTAAAATATTTTAAAAAGGACACATATTTCATATTTTGCTTTCAACATTTCTCAACATTTTAATTTAAGTTGATGTACTAAAATAACTATTTAAAATAATAATAATAATAAAATAAACAAAATTACAAAAACACAAAACAAAATTACTAAATGCCCCAGGGTTATTATAGTTAACTAAACCCATAAAATAAAACTTTCATTACTTACAAAACAACATTTTTCATTTTATTTAACATGTACTGAAATAACTAAAACTGAAAAAATAATAATAATAATGAGCATATATAGGCATGTTAAAAATAAATAAAAAATGACAACACACAAAAAACTACTAAAATGTACCAGAGTTATTATAGTTAACTAAAAATAATAACAATAATAATAATAATACACTTTCATTACTTAAAATAAAATAAACTAATAAAAAGAAAACTATTTTTTATTTCAGCTAGGTGCAAATGCAACATTTCTCACTTTTATTTTAATTTAACTTGCTGTACTAAAATAACTAAAACTGAAAAATAAACTATACAGACATTAAAAAACTAATACAAATTACAAAAACAGACAAAATTACTAACATTTTAACCAAAAAGCAAAATATAAAAATAAAATACTAATTCAAAATATGAATTAAAAAAAAACTATAATAGTATTTCAATGATCCTAAAATTACACTGACTCATCCCTCAGTTCATAAAAACAAAATATGTATTTACTATAATGAAATTACAATAGAAGTCTAAGAGGTAGGGCATTACACTGGAATAAACATTAAAATACACTGTTTTTGAAAGAATATCCACAATACTTAAACATTAAATGAGTTAAAATGAGCCTAGTGTGATAAAATCACTAACCTTTTAACACATAGCTAGTTAATCCAGTAATATAAAAATATTTTTTTTTTTGTTGTTGTTACTTTTAACACTTAACTAGTTAATCCAGTAATATAAAAAAATATTTTTTGTTGTCGTTGTTACTTTTAACACTTAACTAGTTAATCCAGTAATATAAAAAAATATTTTTTGTTGTCGTTGTTACTTTTAACACTTAACTAGTTAATCCAGTAATATAAAAAATATATATATATTTTTTGTTACTTTTAACACATCTAGTTAATCCAGTAATATAAAAAAAATATATATATTTTTTTTGTTACTTTTAACACATCTAGTTAATCCAGTAATATAAAAAATTTATATATATATTTTTTTTTGTTACTTTTAACACTTAACTAGTTAATCCAGTAATATGACCGCTAAAGAGCTGATTTAGACAATTTACAGCTAAAATAACATTTCTGTACAAATAAAAAAAAAATACTCTAGGTAGAATTTGATTCCTCAAACATTTCTAACCAAGAGAAACAAAAGCATCTGCTAGTAAATTTCACAAAGAAATAGCAAGTAACTGCTATTTCTGCTCTCCATTTAATCTTGCTGCTGTCTAGGAGAAACAGCAGAGATATTAAAGAGCCCTTCTTTGTGATTACTCTTTCATGCGGACAGACATCCGTCAGATGCTGACAAAGTCCAATGACACTCCAACACTGACTCTCAAACATCTCAAGACCTGCTCGCGTTCCAACATGAACATTCAGCACTCCTGTCCATCCTGAGCGGATGACCTTTGCTCAGTACTACTTCAACCAAAAAAATAAAATCATCAAATATTAAAGGTGTGTTTACGATAATGGGCAGCCGATTCTTCTCTCCACATTATTAATTCATGCGGTTAAAACGACTTTCCACCGATTAATGGAGATGCTCCATGGCTTGGCAATTGCGTTTGGAGGAAAAAAGACAGAAAGGACTTAGGCTGTCAACAGATACATTACCATCTTATAGAGTGGATCTTATCTACCTATAGAAGGAGAGCCAGACAGAGAGAGAAAGAGAGAGAGAGAGAGAGAGAGAGAGAGATAGAGAGAGAGAGAGAGAGTGAGTGAGTGAGTGAGTGTGTGCGCGTATTTGTGACAAAT